GTGTGTGTGTGTGTGTGTGTGTGTGTGTGTGTGTGTGTGTGTGTGTGTGTGTGTGTGTGTGTGTGTGTGTGTGTGTGTGTGCGCACGTGTATGTATGCATACGTATACCTCTCGTTAATTCTGAAATAATCCTGTTGATTCTGGTTTAATAAAAGTTTAAAATACATATTAATAAACATGTATACATATTAAAAAACATGTATAGACGTGTTTGTTTAAAATAAGATAAAAAAGATTCATTTTCAAATGATTGATTTATACATAAGCCGATCAAAATTTACAAATTTTCATTTAGTAATATTCTTGTAAATATCTTTAGGACTTGGTTGGTTGGTGATTAAATATGGTACTATAAATGTTACATTCATTCCAAACAACAAAAGATACACCTTCGTAAATTTTAAATAAATTGATAATATTTTTCTTAATTAAAAAATTTTACTATTTGGAAAAGAGAATATTTTTAACTTGTTGACTTTTTTTAATGGAATAGCCAAGTACGCAACAGAAAGTTATACAAAGAATTCGCTTGTCGCGTCTTTATTATTGACAAAATGATAATCAAATTTATATTAATGAGAAAAACATTCGCGTTATAAAAAGACCTTTATTATCGTCGGTTACAGTACTGTAGTATGTTCAAAAGTATTAATATGGACGAGGGGGTGGCCCACCGCGCATCATACCTGGAGGTGGACCTCTCATTCCAGGTGGTCCCATTGGTGGACCTCCACGTCCTATGGGTGGCATTCCTGGTGGCATTCCTATGATCAATTAGATTTCAAAGTTTTACAATAAAAAAACTTTTACGACAAAAATGAAACAATTTTTGAATTTAAGGGATTTGTTACGAGTTTTGTCTAATAATTTGAAAAACAAAAATCAAGATCTGTAAAATGTTACCCATCATGCCTGGTGGTGGACCCATCATTCCAGGTGGAGGACCCCCAACTGGCATACGTGGAGGACCACCTGGATGCATTTGTGGTGGGGCAGAAACTTGACCTCTACCTCCTGGTGTCATTATTTGTTGCGAAGGGCCTCCGACACCTCTAACGGGGCCTTGTAAACCAGCAGGCACTCCAGCGACGTTGGCAGGCATACCACGTCCCGCAGCACGACCCATACCAGGTCCAGGTGCTGCACCAGGAATTGGTACTCTAGGTAATCCTTCTTCTGGAGGTGGAGGACCTTCCACAGTCAGAGAAACGATATTCTCTCCTCTTAAGAGTACAAAACCCAATACCCGTTTATCTTCTCTTTCTGGTTGTTTCGTATTCTTTGGTTTGATCTTGCGAAATTCTTCACAATCACCGAGTATAAGATTCATATGTTTGTCAAAAGCTTTAAACGTGCCTATGAATGTCCTAGAGTCTTGCAAAATAATTCTGACTCTATAATTGATATGCTGTAGCATCTTATTGTTTTTACCTATTGTCTGAAAAGAAAATGTTTCGACATTTTGTAGTTGAACGTGTACTGAATGAATATTTATTTTTAAAAAAATATATAACAAATGTTGATTTAATTCGTAAGAGAAATGTGGTTACAAAATATAAAAAATTAAAATCGTACTTTCTCTCATTTAAAATTGAAATAATTTCATAATTTATAAAGAATCATTTATAAAAAAAATACATTGCCGGTTGTGAGAACCGTTATAAGGTTATGTTAGCGATATTTTTAAATACCGATTCATTTAAATACAAATATTTATGCACTGTTATATTTTACTTACCATTTTGACTATCTTTGCCAACACCAAACAAAATTATTAACAAGTTGATAGATTTTAGGTACTGTATAACTATATATACGGACAAAAAATGTTAGCTGATCGCGCCAAATAAAACTGTTTCTTCGACTGACATAACCTTCTTACTTCTTGTACGAACAGGCATTGTTGTGTGTTGTGTGTTAAAAACAATATATTGCATATATATTTTCATTCAATTAAAAACATCTTTACGACATTGTAAAACGTATTTAATAAAATGAAATCACGATTTAAAAGATAGATACATATGTATACTTATAATACGAGATTCTATAATAAAAAGCAATGTGACGTACAATAACGAAATAATATTTATTTGTTCAAGTGTTAAGTTTTCACGAATCGTCAATTATTAATATTTATTTTTTAAAAATATCATTCGTGTAGAATAAAATAAGTTTTAAATGCTATTTGTATGGTTTATATGTTTTAACTATTTATATGTTTATATATGTATACAATGTGAATTACACATATTATTGCAATATTGAAAACTTTAAAGCTTATAAATAACAGACGACTCAAATTTATTTTTGTAACGATATAACTTAAAATTAAACTAAAGTAAATTAACTAAAATTGAGAACAAAATATTTTGTTGGAAATTTAAAAGTAATATATTGTTTTTAAAGATGTTTATTCGAAAGATATTTATTATTCGTACAAAATAATTATTTCATCGAATTTCACATATTTTTATGTGAAATGTCTTTGTTATATTTAAGGAAAGAAGACGTAAATTTTCAACATATAAAAATTAGAAAATTCTAAATTTTACTCAATTTAGTATTTAAATTTGCTATAAAATTAATTCTTACAATTTACTAATTACATGTATAATCAAATCTGTCAACTTGTATTGAAATGTTTTTTCAATATTTGAGAAGGACATGTTTTTGACTTGTTACGTTTTATAACAATGATAATGTTCCACCGTAATAGCATGTTTGAAGAATCAATATTTACAATACAGTCGGATAATGTTTTTGATTGATTCAGCAAAAATTGATGGTTATGTTGCGAATCTCTATTACTTGGCTTGCAATTTTCTATATTCGTTTGATTTGTATCAATTGACTTTACAAAATTTTCAGAACTATGAAAGATTTTACGAACAGATTGGACAATGGGCCTTTTAACTTTATAAGTAGAACAATCTCGAAAATTATTCAAGTTCGTACGTTCCATTTGAGCCAAGGTATAAATTTTTTGATAATTTTTTAACTTATTACTGTCGAAAGAATATACATTTTTAAATTCTGAAACGATACAAAATTTGTTACTTCTGTAAAGATACTCAAAATTGGTTGTTACTACAAACCTTCTTTCTTTGAAAATGCTTCTTGAACAAAAGATTGCAATTTAAACGTTTCTCGTGCCTGATATATGTTATTTTTATTTAATCCTTTGAGAGAGATTTCTGAGAACACGAGACTTTTGTTTTCTGAAATATTTAAAGAAGAATCCTTTGGTGCTTTTTCATGTTCTCCCAAATCTGGATGTAAACCATTCGTAGTATTCGTCGAGTCGATTATTTTATTATGATAGTTGGATGATGTATCATTTTTATTTCTTTTGTTCGATACATTTTTATCAAAATGTAAACATTTATTAGAAATGTGTAAAGGTACCGTCGTATCAGAATCAAATCTGTCAGAGTAGTGTAATAATGATTGAATTTTTGATGTGGCTGAATATGTGGTATTTAATTTTGTTTGTGATTGTGGAACATTCCTGTGGGAATTATTTTTACTCTGAAGACTAATTTTGTCCTCTAAAGTGTTCTCCGATATTGAGAAGAGAACAAAAGGTACATGTTTTACAACAAGTTTCTCAACGACATAATCGCATCTTCTTTTAATATTATTATTTACAATGTTTTCCAAGGATTCTGTTGAACTAGCAGTTCTAAAGCAGCTTGAAAACAATTTGAAACATTTATTGTTAGTTTTACCACCGGAAAAAGAATTAATCTTGGATTGGAAACCGGAAACTGCGGTTTCGTGTGAACTAATAGCAATAGCAGTAGTTTGTAATTTGTCGCTCATTCCAAAATCGTGCAAAAGAAACAATTGTCCAAAGTATTTAAATATCAAGTCTAGAAATATATCTATTGTTATTCACAATGCATTAAGGTTAGTTTTTATAATTCGGTTTACTTCGTTCAACAACATTTGTAATTTAAAATTCTTCGTACACGTTCCTGAAGATATCGAAGAGTTATTACAATATACGCAGTTTTGTATCACAAATATTTGATCTAGCAAAGGATTAGCATGATATTGCGATCTATTAAAATTTTCTGATAAAATTTCTAAATTACCATTAATATTTTATGCTTACACGATCGTAAATTTGCATTTGAAACTTAACGTTAATTTTTGTAATTGTAACTGTTTATTAAAATTACTACTACGATTCTTTCTAAACACATATAAATGCATTCAAGCTTAATTTTTGATTATGAAAATTGTTGTAATTTGCTTCTATGTAAATTTACTGTTAACTCTATTGAAATTTAACTATTAACGATAAATTTTAATTGGACTTGATTTAAAATGTCAAATAATTCTCGATGTTTGGTTGATAGATAGATGGCGCACTCATGACGTTTCTAGAATGTTTAATACTTCCATTTATATAATATTGCTTTGTAAATAAAATTGAATGTCGGGGTGCTTTCACATTTTCAAGCGTGATAAAATTACTAATAAAGATAGTTTTATAACAATTAAGAATGGCGACAATAAAAGTAAATCCATCAACTTCGCCTTCTGTTGAATTAAGTTCGTACCGCGATCAACATTTTAAGGTTAGTTTCGCGATATGTTGCATTAATTTGTTATGGTGGTGAACTTTGCCGGTATGTTTCGTAGGTTATTCCAAAAGAACAAATGTATATACTGGATCTTAAACCATTTGTTTCTGTTTTATTTCAAAATTTATTGCATTCTGCATATGTGTAATTGCATATGTAACGGAGTATAGCAATAGTTTTTTTAATTTTCTGTTGATTCAGAATACTGATAAATTTATCCTCCCATTCTCTTCGACGATGACGATATAATGATATTAATTATAAAAATTACCAATAGCAAAAATTTCAAACTCGTTAGTATGAATTTCTTCTGTAATAATGTTTTAAATTTACAGGGTTCGAGAGCTGAACAGGATAGACTCTTGAGAAATTCTACGACTTTATACGTTGGAAATTTATCCTTTTATACTACGGAAGAACAAATATACGAATTATTTTCAAAATGTGGCGATATTAGAAGAATAATAATGGGATTGGATAAATATAAAAAGACACCTTGTGGTTTCTGTTTCGTCGAATATTATCAAAGGATTGATGCGGAAAACTGCATGAGATATATTAATGGCACACGCTTAGATGACAGAATCATTAGAACAGATTGGGACGCTGGTTTTATTGAAGGCAGGCAATATGGAAGGGGTAAAACTGGAGGACAAGTGTGTAGTTTTATTTTATTATTACGGAATTACGCTGCATTAAAATTTATCGATGTACTGAGTTATCTCGTATGACGGATCGTGTTGTTACAGGTAAGAGACGAATACAGATCGGACTTTGACAGTGGAAGAGGAGGCTATGGTAAAATAATACAACAAAAAGTAACTCCACTTTCAGATGGAGCTTTTGGACGTTAAAATTGTATGTATGTGACTTGAATCTTAAATTTTGTAAGTGTAAGAAACTTACTAATAATCGTGTTCGACGCGATTCAGATAAAAGATATCTGAAATAATAACTGTAACAATTGTACACTGACAGTAAATAAGGACAGTATATAAGTATAAAATATAAGTAAAAATTATTTTTGAATACTCGTACATAAGTGATTTACCAGTAATTTTGTTTTTATTTGAATTTTTTTTTTTTTTTTATTAGATGACAATGAAGAATGAATGTATTGGTAAGAAATATTTCGCGAATATGTCATTCTAATTTTATTCAAAAGACTGTTTAATAAATAATATAGATGAAATAAAGTCCTTTTAAAGTAATAGTATCTGCGTTTTATGACGCAGATTATACACTTAATTGTGTATAATCGACATTACAAAAAATACGAATTATTTGCTGTTTAAAATTATCTGTAATCAGTTTATTAAATCTTTTAAGAACATGGCAAAACTATAGAGTCTTTGGAACGGTGTATATTTTTAGACATTAAAATTATTAATATAATTATTAATTGATATTTTCTATTAATTAGTTATAAATATTATTTTATAGTCCAATCTTCAAAATGAACAACAAAGTTTACTCGATGGTTTTTTCAGTACCGCTCGAATTGCCTCTGTGAAAACTTCTTCCAAGTTTTCACGTTTCAGAGCAGAACATTCAACGTATTTATAAGCTTTTATTTTTTTTTTCATTCTTTTGCATTCTTTGAAAGTAATTGTATCCGCGTTTTCTTGATTTCTAAGATCTCCTTTAGTACCTATTAATATAACACAAAAGAAAGTTTTAACTTTCATTTAGTTTTAACTCTACGATATCAGGAGTTGATATTTTTGCTTGTGCAACAAAAAATTTATTCTCTTAATTGTCAAAAGTTTCGTACGATATGGAAATTGTTAGAAAGTATAAAATTATGAATTATCCTTTCAAATAAATTAGTAATAAATACTTACCAACAAGTACTATGGGTGTATTTGGACAATAATATTTAATTTCTGGATGCCACTTGTTTGCAATATTCTCGTAAGAAGTGCGAGAATTCACTGAAAAGCAGATCAAGAAGCAATCAGTCTGAAAATAAAATTAAATGATAATTCAAACGTAAACTGAAAATTGTACTAGTATATGAATAATTAATATGTAAATTAATAATTAGATGAATAACAAGAAATTAATCGATAGACTTATTCACATTTGGATAAGATAAAGGTCTGATTCGCTCATAGTCTTCTTGACCAGCAGTATCCCATAAAGTCATGTCATATTCTTGTCCATCTACGTAAATGGTGCCTCCGTAATTATCGAAGCTAAGAACAGATTGTAAATATCACTTTTTGTTTTGGAATTTATAAGTATAGAATCAATTTTTAATATTTTTATAAAATCATTTTTCTTTTAGATTTAAAAACTTTGGTACTTACACAGTAGGTACATATTCCGAGGGGAATTCATTTGTTGTATACGTAATAAGCATACATGTTTTGCCTACAGTACCATCTCCGATAGTTGTGACTTTGATCGGCCTATGCCTGGAGATTGTATTTTTATTTTCTAAAAAATAAGAATATAATTTTATTTATATATACTTACGTCAATGATTATAATTCGATCGTAGAAATATTTATTTCACTCCGTTCGATATTCGATTGCATTTTTCATATGTTGCAATTTTGCAAATTGTACGTACGTAAAAATTTATCAAATTAAATATAAAAAGAATAATTTTCATCATGTCAGGAATATTAGAAGACAAAAATTTAAAAACTCAGAATGCTACAAGTTTGTAATTTTGACAATGTTTTTGTTGGAAAGGTAATCAACACGTGTGTGGCGAACATACATACATACATACATACATACATACATACATACATACATACATACATACATACATACATACATACATACATACATACATACATACATACATACGTACGTACGTACGTACGTACGTACGTACGTACGTACGTACGTACGTACGTATATTAAGGCTGGCGTTACTGTATTGCATATTAATTGGAATCAAAAGGTGACACATTTCTATCGTTTTAACGTAATAATCAATTAATTTAACTAATTTAACTCAAAATTGACTATAATAACAATTATATTTTTCATCATTTTTGTTTATCATATCAAATGTGTATTGTATTACAAAATTCACCAAGTTCCATTATCTCTGTAAATTATAAATAATTGTATGATACGTGATAAAATATTTATATATATTTACTAATTATTTAGTTTCGTATTACATTTTTTATCATCGGACAAAATGTTCGTCTTTATATAAGTAAAAATCGCAAAATATAAATGAAGTGATAATATGTTGATTCTTCTTTTAAAATTGATGGAATTTATTATCTTTTGTATATTATCTGACTGTCAAGTATCTGTATGTGTAGTTTGTTCTCTATAAGTCTACCTACAAGGTATCTGGATATAAGACGTCTGAATCATATATGCTGTGTTCGTGCGTTCGTCGAAGTGCATGCCTTTGCTGCTATATACATATCTTGAATCATCAATGTCATTCCTTTTCTTTCCGTTCTATACATCTCATCATAATTCTTTCTCTTCTTTTAGTTACTTATTATTATTATTATTGTTATTGTTATCATTGTAATATTTTAAGTTTCAAGTTGTTCAATTCAAAATTATTTTAAACAATTTTTAATATATTTTAATAAATTTTTCAAATAATGTTAAACAATGATTATCGTATGACAAATAATCTGTTTTGATTGAGTTTATGTTTTTTGTTTAGGGTTAGGAAATGTTTTAAGAAATGTAAAATTGAACGAATAATTGTGAATAATTTCCTTTCCAATAATTATTGCAAGTAAATAATATTTGATGTTGCTTAAATTAAATTTTGTTCGATGTGAAAAAATCGCTCTTTATTTAAATAACGTGTATTTATATTTACCCTTATTGTTATTGCACATGGCGTATACAAAAATATGTAAATTCAATCCCTGTTAGTCTACTAGTCTACTTGTTGTCAGCTTCCCGCTCAATTTAGGGCCGCCTTTATCAGTAGCCAACGTTGCAAGTTATCTTTTGTCATCCGGTCAATTCCATTATCCGCTATATTATTTAGCTGTAGAAAAACGAAAGAGATTGATAGCTCCGTGATAATTCATATCAATAAGGCTCAATGATATGCGTACATTGATCTGAGATGCGTTCCCTGAGAGAGCACGTAATTGCAATTAAACGTTCTCTTTTCTGTAATTCATAGCTTTTTAAGTAATGATCTTTTAAAGATTAATAAGATTTACTTTGCATCGATTTCGAAATTCGTATTTTTCTGTATTTTTTTTTCTCCTTTTTTTAATTGATAGTTTCTTTTAAGAAGAATCAATCAATTTCAGCCATTAGATACATTAATATTGTTGCTTGTTATATTTGATTAACTCGATTGATAACCTATTTATTGTTTAATAAAGTACAAAAAATAAAAGTAGCGAGGAAATTTCTAATTTCTAATTTTTAGCGAATTTAAAGGAAATAATTATAAGCTCGTTGACGTTTTGAGAATTTGAGTGATTTTAATCAGTGTTGCTATCAATGCGGTTGAAATGGTAACCACAAAAAATACTTTCCGTCTGATTCACTGCAACACGATGGTGTACGAAATGATAGAATCACCTGTTTCCTAATTCGTGAAATCACTCGACCTTTGAGAAACGAAATCGTCACACTTTCCTTTCCTATTTTATAATTTACTTATACCGCGTAAATACGATGTATGTACCATACATACACGTGGTAGTAAGTTTAGTAAATCTCAAAAGCCAATTCACAAATAATACACAATTACATATGTACTTGCAACTAGTCGACAATGCACTGAATTTTGAAATTGCTACAACACGTTAGAAATATGTTGTTCCAACGTTAAATTATTGCCAATTATTTGAATGATAAAAACAATAAACTTTTATTGACTTGATTGACGTGTAGAATGTGAAAGAAGGACAGAGAAGGACAGGTCGATGAAATATGAGAAAATTACAGTAGAGATAAAAAGGTGGGTAGTACGCGTAGGTAGATCGAGGGTGTGCTTTTAACACACGTCGCAACGCATCAAATAATTCCATGTATCTAAGTACTTACATACATGTATGTACAACCACGCTCTTCCTTCCGCAATTCAAGTTGCCATTAATTTTGGCAACCAAGTAACATCGGTCGGGCAAAATTCTATTCGGTGTTCGATGTTCGATAACATCGACAACACAAGTAAGAAGTAAACAGCGCGTAAGTCATGTACGAAAACATATGCGAGTACCGAAGTTCTTTTTACATAAGAATTTTCAAATAGAAATTGCGCGTGCTATAGGCAAAGAAATACTTTTGTATTTTTCTATTGAAATCAAACGACAAATGTGTGTGTGTGTGTGTGTGTGTGTGTGTGTGTCTAATAGAATAAAATAAAATAAATATTCAAATAATTTTCCAATGTTAAATAAAATTTTAAGTTTACCGTAGGTAATAACGCACGATTTTACTATGGAATCGGAATTGCCTTCTTTGCCTTTTCGCTTCAATAAAATACGTTTCAAAGATTCCCCGATATGTATTGTTTACCTTTCTCTCGCGCAATGAGGTAAGACTTTTATGTAAATAGGTTGTAGGCACGCAAATAAAGTGAGTAGTGATGACATAACAGGTGTTGGACCTTCAAGAGCACGTAATTAAAAGCTGCAAAACATGGCTTTTTACATGACTCGGACGACATTCTAATTATGACGTTCATATATCTTTGCATTTATTTTTATAAACTTTACGATTCCGACCAAAGATATACGTATCCGCGTTTATCCAGAAAATATTCTCTCTTGTTTAACGTTTCTTTGCACTTGCACTGCAATTGAATTGAGAAACTTGGTTGTTATTTTCAAATTAAGTTTTTAAGAGTCTAATATTAATTTGAAAAATCTGTTAATTTCGAAATCGAATGAAAAACACATCATTTAACAATCGATGCCTTGATATTAATTTGTCATGTACATACATAAGCACATATGTATGCGAGTTAGTATTCGCGTCGTATTTGGGGTTCGTATTTTTTAATTTCAAATTCTCTGTTTGAGAAACTCTTGAGAAGAACTCGAGTGAATTCAAACAATTCACCAACTAATAGTTTCGAATTCTTTGTAAATATTTCGAAAAAAAAAGATACTACAGAGTCAAGCCCACTAATGTGTGTGCGCGTTTTGTGTGTGTATGGTGCGTGTGTGTCTTACTCTTGCAATTAAAAATCAAATACCGCTCGAATATACATGTATAATGAGGATAATTAAATTATATAGATCGATGATATATAGATCCATTCGCTGTTTATCTTGTATAATCTTGTAGAAAATTTTTGAAAAATTCAGTGACACGGTGACGCCTTCGTCACCTGGTGACGATTGAGTTGCCACAACTTGCAACAAGTTCAATTCGTCGATTCAACATTATACAATAGAAACAGGTGTGATGAGTAGATTTCCCAAAACTATGAAATGACATGATTTGGTCATTGGATTCAGATTTGTGAATATACAAGTATCAAATCTGATCCCATCAACCATCCGTCGTTACTTGACAGAAATTTCATACGTATAAAAAGATCCTTTCTTTCTAGAAAAACTTTCGCTACGAAAAACGGCTTGAAAAATATTTTACATTTAATAACACGGTTCTCCAATATATGATAGAAATAGCAATGGCGAATGCGTCGTCGATTTTTCATATGTCGTTGATAAGGAGCGATAATGTTATCAATCCCGTGATCAAATGTGTGATCACAAGTCTACGTAGCTAATTCCTATTACACGGTTACCCATATCGAACAAAGATCAGATTCACCAAATTCTCAAGAAATTATATTGAGCCAAAATAATTCTTATCAATTTTTTTCATCTTCCACTCTTACTTTAAATTTAAAATATCTGGATCATTGTGCAATTCATATAATATAATAACGTAAATTTAACGAGGGTTTTAAATATTAAAAATAGCCCTCTTAAATTAACATTTTCAATTTTTCATATTAAAACTGTAATTCGCTATAAATTTTATTTGTTTACTAATCTTTTGTTTATTTCATTGCTATTATTGTATTACTGTATTGTACGTTCGTTGAACAAATAGGCATTTGCACTTAATCTTTTAAATTGAATTTGTATTAATTCTTCATTCTACGTATGAACTTTTATATTACGTATTGTATAATATATTGACACAAGTACACTAATTTATAGAAATAATTTAAACAAATTAAAGTTAAGAAAATGAAACAAGATACGTTGTTCGAGTTTAAGAATCGAATTATAAAAAAATTAATATCTGAAATATTTGAGCAATTCTCTTATTCCGATTGGATGTAGTAACAGTCTCGAAGCATATTTACGTACGTTCAGGCAATTGAACGTGGGTATAGGTTTTAACAAGTTTAAATCGAACTGAGATCGAAACATCGGTGTTTACAGGAAACTTTCTTTCAGCTTTCAGCATCTTTGCTTAAAAGTACGCGCTTTCCGTTCAAAGTCTCCCTCGGAAACATTACCGGACAATATTTTTCTAAATATCTTTTACTAAAAGAATTTCTTTCGTTGCTATTAAATCGTCCGAGTAAACGTCGGTGTGTGGTGGAAGTACGATCAGTGACTCACCTCGAATTAGAAAGATTTTGATAAAAACTGTGGTTGACCAACGTTGAGTAGGTACATATTTCTTTTTGACAATTGAAACTGACAGTTATCGTTCGAACGGTTCTTGATAATACTGAAACCGACTGCAATTCTCTAAAACGCGAGTCCAGAACGAGTGTGACAGAAATGCTGGTGCTAAGTGGTTGACGCGACGACTACTCGGCGACTACGAAACATCGTCAACGCGGTTTACATTTACGAGTAAACGTTCACCGAAACGTCATCAATTACGCTACACGCAACGCCTAGGAGAATAGATATGTGTAGGTGCGTACACAGTGTCGAACTTCGTGATCGGAATCCTTTTGGCAACGATTTCATTAATTTTATTGTCAGTGAAACCTTTCTCTTAAGAATAATTAACATTAACCAATTATTTGGTGTTATGTATAACGACAAGTTGGACAATTAAATGATCGAAATGTTGAAGCTAATGTTTGTAAATCCAATTAGCCAATTGTATAATTTGCCGTGAAATTGTACAAAAGGAATCTGTATCGACACAACGTAATAACCTCATCTTCATCGGTTTAGAAAGTGTTTTGATTTTCATCACGAAGAAAAGCGAAAGAATTTTCAGGTATGGAGATGAAACTGTTATATTGAAACCGATCAATCATTTACAGTTCACGATATACATACAGAATTAAAATTCTAAATTACGTGTTCCCCATTTGAAACGATATATATACTTTTATATTCGCAAATAGTATTCGTTTGATGACGCAGAATAACTTTAATAACTAATCGCACTGCTGAACGTTATCCGATTGTTTGACAAGTTTGGTACAGTGCCGTGATTTGCATTGTCTCGATAGTGTTGGATGGTTTTTAAACATTAATGACAAATCGATCTGTATTAGTAGCCACGTATTACACTTTTATTACAAAATAAATAAAGAGATTGAAATCAAGGACGATGAAAAGAATGTAATCATAATTCATACGTTGATTTTGACAAATATTTAACGTATAGTGATATGTATGATAATAATTATTAATTTGTTGTATTATTTATTTCAGTGGCCATGTAATTATCGCAATTTACTAAACAAAGCAATTTGAAAAACATTAGACGTTGATTTTATAACTTGTCAAGTTCTTACGCTTAATATAATTTATTTAAAAGTACGTGAAATAAATTACATATGTACTAAACGTCGATATAAAACCGTTTTGTAAGAATTGATTACAATACGATTACAATGAAACCCATTGAAATAATTAACATGTATGTCATAGATTGGTTATGATTTACAGAAATGTAGTTATATTTTTCGAATTTTTAAATTTTTTATAGTATATTAGTTAGAGAACTGTAAAATTTTGTTCGCAATCTATCGTCTCCTTAAAATTAAAAATGAATCGTCGTGTCTTGTATCAATTTTATTAGGACTCGATTCCATCCTCGTCGTTCACTCTAGTTGGTGCTGCCATCTGTTAGATCCCGATAGATTGAATTTCTTGAATTAACAATTTCACGCATGTTATTTCCAATAACAACGTCGTAATTCAAAGGAACGATACGACACGTTTTCAACAAATCTTTCCAAAATTTAATCAATTTGTTGCGTGATCGTGTCTTCTCTATTTTTCTTGTTTCTTTTTATTTCGAAACGTTATACCACGAGACGAGATCGCATTAAAGTTTCTCCATATTATTTCTCATTAAATCGTCAAATCGTCAATTCATCAATTATTTTTAACTGAACATTTGTTGCAAGCTACGAAACTACCGATATTTTTTTAATTCTTTTCTTAGTAATATATGTAATAATAAATCGTATTAAGAACACATCTCGTCTGTGGCAGTAACTTGATGTATTATTGATCAACGCAATACCACAGACGAGGTAAGTACACGTTTGTAAACGTGTATCGTCAGCTGTGACGATATATACCTTTTCGGAACCAAACAAAACTTTGAATACATTCAGATTTATTGATTTTCAGAAAAGCGTTGTAATGCACTCTGTACTATATTTTACAATCTGCTGCTCCATCGATGTCAAGTGTCAACCTGAAGCGAATCCAACAGTTTGTTAATCGTTGATAAATAGCGTTTTTCAAGTTACTTGGAATAACAGTACTTTGGAAAATGTACAACGTTGAAATTGAAGACTTTTATCATCATGACTTCACGACAGCTTCTGAATGGGAAATGTTCATCGCAAGATTAGAAGAGATTATGCACGAATGGAAATTGCCAAACACAAAAGTTGGTTCTTGCTTAAAGTCTGGAGATTTTGTCAACTGCACGTGGAAAGAAAATTCCGAAAAGCTTCTTTTTGCAGGTCTGTTGATACCTACTTTGTTACTTTGTTAAAGTTATTATTAAAATAAAATACGTGCAATGTAGATACGTTTACTTTATTTAGACAGTGTAAGCAAATGTTTCTGTTTCATTATAGACGCAGAGTTTACATTGAAGCATTTCAAGTTGAAATTGGACGATGATAAAGTTACCGACAATCTTTTAGAAGAAAGTGAAGAAGAAAAAGTACAGTGTCATAAGGATGCGCTAAATGCGTCGAACGACTTCGCTAGAATCGATGGCAATCATTTAGAAATAGCCCGCTACTACGGTATTAGGGAATTTCTTGTTTTACAGTCCGTTAAAAAGGATTCTGTGATGGATGAGACAAAAATTAGAATTTTACTCAGTTCTCTTGCAATTGCGGCAACTAATGCCAGTTGGTAAGTAAAAAAAGTGGTTCGAACGAAAGATGAATGGTATCGATGAAATGTTATTAATTTTTTAGCAGATGGACAACTTATGAAGGTTAATTGTATTTTTGAAAATAGAATTGTATATTTTTTTAATACATTGGTCGATGCATTGCTGGTTGTTATATACGTAAAGTTAATATATAAAGTCAAGAAAACTATATAATTCTGTTCATAAAAACATACTTAATCTTTATATGTGATCCACCTGTAAGAAAACTAATGATCCATAGTGGTGTCGTGTACTTTTTATACATGTTTTTTTGTATGCTTTGTAATTTTTCTTTCCTCAATTTTATTTATGGCGTGTTGATATTTGAAACAAATGGTTTTAATTTGAACGATATATTTATTTTCAGTGATGTACCTGCGTTAGTACAAGTGCAAGAACCGTGGCAGAAAATGTATCTTGGAATTAGCATTGGGAAAGGAATTTGTACCCACTTTGATATGGTACACTTGAAGAAAGTACCCTTGCACTGCAAGTATCTAACTGGTACGAACGTAATAATTTTTGAAATAACGGTATAGAAGTAATTACGCGATTAAACCGTAATAAATATATCCCTTTTGTGGTATGCTTGTGATAGTTGCTTACAAATCTTATTTTCAGGTCTACTTACTTTGTTTAAACAAAAAGTTGGAGAAGGTTGTGGAGCAAGACTCGATCCAGTGATGATATCTGTAAGGTTTTCATACTTGCTGAAAGATTGGACCAATAGTACGTGGACTCAAGAACCTCCAGACTTTGATTTTATGCAGGGTGAAACATTGGGTGTAGCTGAACTTGGAAAACTTCCATTTGGAGCAACATACGATCCGATTGCGTAAGATTTTTGTCTGTTTTGTATAAAGGAAAAGTATCGATTAAGATAATTAAATGTGAAATAAAGAATTTATTTAATCAAATTGTTACAGAGAGCTTCATTTATGTACTACGTGGCCTGAAATGTCGGAGAACGTCGTGGTTGATAGCGAAGGTTTCACAGATTTAGAGCCACAGTTTGCCCCTGAATGGTCTGTGCAAGTAAAAATGGTTTCCTCGCCAGCCTGTTTACTCGGAGAGTATCTAACTGATTTTTTACATCTCTGTAATAACCAAAAAACTATAGTGGACTTACTGGGAGATGCTGTGATTTATTCTCAACAAGAAGATCAAACATTGAGTTCAGTTTTCAACATATTAACAGAATCTAAGATACCGACAATTTCAACAGTAGTTAGTAAAGCAACAACAAAGAAGATTAAAAATGTAGAAGGGCCGATATCGGAGGAAATATTATTGTCGATACTCTATTTTCTTTTCCCTGATGCAGAAGAAAATTCTGTGAGTAATTATTTTTTCAATACAATAGTTTTTAGATAAGAGAGTTTGTTTACAACCGTTATACGTAAGCCTTATACTACCTATACCTAATTGGCGTAAATCGATCGAAATCGTAAATTGAATTTTATAATTTTCGAATAGAACTAGTTTATTTTAAAAATTTTAGCAGGTGTGATATATTTATATTTCTGTGATCGTTAATCTTAAAATGTTGCATTTTGATTAATTGTTACAAAAGCAGATATTTCCAGTTGCTGAAAAGTAACAAAGTGAATTGACGTTGTAGAATACTCCGTATGGTGACTTGACCGTATATAATATAGACGAAGACCAATGGAAAGGTGTAAAAACGTGTGCAATGGACAGTTTAGTGTGGCGTCTGGCAATCGTTGCAGCTCATTGTACACATAATCTCGGAGGAGCAACAGCTTTGGCACAACTATGGTACGAGTTTGTGCAAGAAATTAGATTTCGATGGGAAAGGAGCATTCTTATATCTGGGTAAGTACTGCACGTCTTAAAATTTGTGAATTGTGAATTGATGGTTTTATATTCAGCGTATACGTATATAATTTCGATTTTATTCTAATACTGGAATATAAAATTATTACTAGTATTTAGAAATACACAAAATTATTTTATAAAAATCTCATTAAGGAGAACGTATAATATGTTAAAAAATACTTTAACGTTAGCACGTTTCTTATAAACTTACGTCAACAAGCGCAAGGTATTAACCGTTTGAGTACGAGTATTTGCGCTTTTCTTAATTTGCGCTTTTCTTATTGAAAAATATCAAGTAGAGCTGCGATCGCGCTCTGTTTATTATATCATATATCAACAATTGCAATTGTCGATGCAGTTGCGAGATGAAGCAGTTGTTTGTTTGGAACAGTTTCAACAGCTTGTGTAGGATCCAAACGCCTCGATATTTGCAAATTGCAGCCCGATGCCATGACATTTTCCGGTATAAAATCTGAACAGCACGATCGCGCTACGATCGCGCAACTCAAACGCAGTTGAACGCAATCTAGATTTTGATACAGTCTTTGGATATAAAATGTCCAACGCTCTTATACGCATTAAACTCATTTACCACTTGTTGCGATGATTTCTGCTTTTTCCTTCTTCTGTTTTTCTTTTGTCTTTGAGAAATGGTGTGCTGAAATCGTTTGAAATTTAATGTTTCGTATTTCAAACGCGTACAGTAAACGTGCACTTTTAAACACTTTCTTGATGATGACTGTACGTCTGTAATGTCTCCTCCGTGTTATTACGTACGTTGATACATCTATTGCACAGTAGTATTCGTAATAACATAGATCTCGAATCTTTATTCCAACATTAATGCTACGTTAACACTAGGGTATCTATAAATCTCTATATCTTTTGGAATGTCACGGTATATATAATACATGTATGTGAATGAGTGCAGTTCACGTGTTCCAAAGAAAAAAAATGTCACTGAACACGATTTTTGAGCAAAACCATCAAAGCAGTACGCATCAAAGTCATTGACAAAGTGTCGATCAGAGAGGCATGAGACCAGTCCTCGTCGTTGGATTACGTGCCATGTATATGTCCATATCATGATCGGTCCAATTGTTCTCTTCATAGTTATTAAGAGTGTGTGTCGAATCGGCTATGCTATATCTACTGCACGGTCTTGGTGGGTTTTGTTCCAATGTACGATTACACGATCTTGGTCTTTGTCTCCTGGACGAAGAATGTGGCATATGACTGGGCGAGAAATTTGTTCGCGACATTCTGTCCGAAGCTGCAGTCAAAGATTGTCGAGATTGTCTCAGTTCTGCAAAAAATAAAACGTTAAAACGTTAAAAAAAAAAAGTGACAGACACGACTCGATTTGCCTTACGATCGGAGTCTATCGGATAACTTGATCGAGAGAATTTAACCTGATCTCGTGTTAGCAAGATTCGAAGACAAAGTGTTGTTTCCAAAGTATCTCGTTGAATTTGTATTGGAAAAGCTGTGCTGAGATTGCCCATCTCCAACTATAGAACGAGTCGATATTTTTCCACTGTAATGCCCCGTTTGTGATCTAACATCGTCAATGCAAGAAGCTCTGGTTATCGAACCTAGAAACAGTATGTATAGGTTTTAATATGTATAATTTTTCAATTTCTCGCATTTACATGTATGTTAAAAATTTTATTCGTTCCATTTTTCTTTTCTTACCTTGTCGATCTATGGGGAATATCCTAGGCCTTGGTATACTCCTATTACTATACGCAGATACTTGATCCCATTCTTTCTGAGCGTTATAAGCGCTGAGAGTTGCCGTTGATGACAACGGCCCACCAGGGCTCGGTGTCGGACCAACGTTGGAACAACAATTGACGGGTAATCCAGCAATAGGTCCACCCATTTTCGTTTGATCGATACTGTGAAGAGTGTGGAGTTTTCTTGCCCTTCGCCGGTTCGCAACAATAAATATTATTACCGCTACCACTATAGTAGCGCAGATGGCTGCACTTGCAGCGATGGTAATTTTATCCATGTTGGACGTAGGCGAATTTTCCGTTCTTACCTCCTTGCATTGGTTGTAGGGTACATTTGCAGGAGTGATGTTTGTTTCCTCCAACGATACTACACACACTACGATACATTCCTGCGAGAAAAAGTGAGAATTTTTCCTATACAGATTATCAACGTTCGTTAGGAGGCTAGCCAAACAGTTTAAACAAATTTTCAAATTCAATTTTTCGAAAATAGAGCATCGTGAGGAAAAGATAATATAGATATATTTTATCGTACTGATTAGAATAGATTTTTTTCAACTTGTAGAAAGTTTCTCTTTCACGTAAAACCGTTCCATTGCTTTACGTTGATTACGTCAAGTTCACTAGGACATTGTATTTTGGTATTTTCGGTTTTGGAAAAGTGTTTCTTGGTTTTCCCGGAAAAAGTCACTGAAAAATGTGCTCTGTGCCGCAAAATCCTGTTCGATCGCAGAAATCAATCTATAATGTGGAAATAAACATATATAACTTTACCTGCGAAGGAACGTTTTTGATTTTGAATTCTCGTTCGCTAGCCTCCAAAGGTGGTGCCTGCTTGAAACTATTATCTCCAAACAATCTATAAATTACTTTAAAACCTAAAATATTGGTCGCTTCCGTGTCCCAATATATAATCACTGCATTGTCTTGTCTGAGTACGTCCTTGACAACAATATCTTTGTCGTTAAACTTTGATTTGTAAAGTGGCGAGCCAAGGACCAATGGTGGCCTTGGTTGATGTTGCTGCAATTGATGATCCTGAATCTGTTTTGGTGGGGACAGCGTAGTCCTCATTATCACCACGTTTCCCGTTCGTGCAACAGTCGGCCTGTTGGTGATGGTTCTTGGGGTATTGGAAGATGACGTTTCGGCTCTTTGGAATTCGGTCGTGGAAGACGCAGGTGCTGTTGTCGATATGGTTGTGGTTGTTACAGTGGTAGATACGTTGATGGATGGTCGAGGGGTTGAATCGTAACTGTTAGCTGCTATAGCAGATCCTGTAGGTTCTTTCGTGTCTACGCTTTCTACCGTTCCGATACCGATTATTTCTGGAGTTCTTTCGCAAGTCATTTCTGAGGAGCAAAATAATATTTCTTGTCAATTTATAATCATTATATACATATATACATGTGTGTGTGTGTGTGTGTGTGTGTGTATGTCGCATATTCATATAGAATACAGTACTGATGAATGTTTAACGATAAGAAAATAATTATCTGTTGATCCAGTCATTAGTAAAAAAAAATTACGTAAATACGTATTACCGTTTGGATCGATGTTGTAAAAGCTTTTATCTTGCAATTTCTGCGGACTTCCGCAGAATTGTGGCTTGCGTTCCCGACTAGTAACTTGCAAATCTCTGATTTTTATCCAGTCGACGATCCACCGTAATCTGCAGTCGCAGACTAGAAATCGCCCTCCTAAACTGAGACCTCGAAGCGTTCCGTTTAATCGTGCTAAAGCGTCTTCTGGTACGGTTGACAAGGGATTCCCATCGATTGCCAGCAGAGTTATCGATGGATTCTTTTGAAAGGCGTTTACTGGTAGTTCCGTTATCAAGTTGAATCCTATATCAAGCACCTACGTTGAAATAAAGATTTAGCAAACTCTCTCTCTCTTTAGTTGATTCATCAAATTATTGTAAATTGTTGTTGTAATGTTTTTTCAGTTCAATAATCAATATATATCAGTCTGTAGTAGCCAGTAGTTTCTTGGAAATCTTTTTATTTTTATTTTTTATTTATTTATTTGTTTATTTATTTTTTTTTTTTTTGTTTTTTTGAAAAATTAAAATTACTCCATTTATCATCGTGGCTGTATCGTGGCATGGTAATGTGCATTACCATTGGAGATATGGTATACGTACATTTAAGTAAAGTTGGAAAGATTCTATAGATCGACGTAATAACAAGACGTAAATAAAGGAATAAAATCAAAAAATTTCGTTGTAGATTTGTTTTGGAAAAGAGAAAGAAAAAAATATCGAGAGTGAAAATCTGTTGAGCGAGCATGATTAATTTTAAGTTGGACAAGAATGAACAATATCGATAAAAAGAAAGTTATTTCACAAGCGAATTAGTTAGTTAGTTAGTTCACGCACGATTTTGACGTCTTAATTAAATTAGATAAAATTCTCGAAAACTCACCCTAAGATCTTGAATGCTATTAATAGCAACCGTCGGGAAATCGGGAATAAGATTATTCAACAAGCTCAGTGAGCTCAATGTATTCTTAATACCATGAAACGCATCCGATCCGATATTTTGTATCAAATTCCTCTCAAGATTCAGCCCAGTCAACGAATCCAATCCCTCGAAAGCTTTCGTACCAGCGGAACCGGGCAGCTCTCTGATACTGTTCTGCGATAAATCAAGAAAAGCCAGTGTTTTCAAACCTCTGAGTGCTTCAGGAACCTTTTTCTGCCTAGTACCCTTCAAATTCAGATTTTTCAACGATCTCTCCAATCCTCGAAACGATCCAGGTGCCAAAGTAACTTCGTTATCAGAAAGTTTTAACGTAACTAATTTTAATCCTGTAAAAGCGTTATCGTTCACTTTCGTAATTTTATTCATCGAGAGATCCAGTACCGTAAGATTCTTCAGAGTTTTCAAAGTTGCACTGGGAATTTCCATTAATTCGTTATCTTTCAGATTAATGCTTTTCAATGAATTCTCTTGACCTTTGAATGCATCTGGCTCGATAGTTTTAATCTGGCAACCGGACAATTGGATATTGTTGACTTTTACGAATGAGAATGAATCGTTCCTCAGAGTTGCTATAGTGCTGTTGTTGATGTAGAATAGGTCTACGGCGGTTTTAGAAACGTGACGCCGCATGGCGGATAAGAGCTGCTCGTAATCGACAATGTCACATTGCACCGAGAGTTCTCTGGCCAGGTTGTAGTCACAGATGCAAGAACTCTCGAGGTCAGGCACGTGTTGCGCCCATGGACAACTGGAGATTGCTGCCACCGTTGCAATTATGCCTGCGAGTAGCAGCAACACCGTTGGACATGTATCTGAAAATGGAAGAAAGTCAACAAAACAAATTTTTCTCTTTTTTTCTCTCTCGCGTAAAATCGTTCGTTAAAATCTATCGTCTATCATGATTGGCGGAACGTATTGCGTATGCATTGTGTTTGCGTTATTATAATAAGTTAATTTTGCTTTTTTTCTTTTTTTTTTTCTCGTCAATCGTTTTCTCTCGTTCGATCGAATACGAGTACTTGGAAGAAAAAGAAAAATAGGCGATAGATGCAAGCAAGAAGAACACGTCGATTTCGTCACTGAGAATCATGAGAAAAGTCATATGAGCAGGTTAAAAGTTGTGTGTAGCCTAAACGAGCCACAATAAACCAGGGTCCATAGACTGAACCCGTTACGAGTCAATGGCCGGAGTCCAACGCATGTCCTCACAACGATGAGTCTTATCGATGAAAGTCGAACAACGGTGTACGAATTCCTAATACTAATAACTATCAACGATTCTTTTTATTTGGATTTTAGTGTGTTTAAATAGGAAGAAACGTATGTACGTACATGCATTAGGGTGAAACGAAGTACGAATTTGATCAATAAAGTAACAGTTGAAAAACTTTCTGAAGAAAGAGTCTAGTTAAGTTTTAATTAGTTGTCTGCAAGTTAATTAAACAATTTTATCGAACTAAACTTCGATATTTTAGTTAGTAATGTAAAGAATTATTTGCAATATGTATTTGCAGTATGTATGTGCAGTTTTGTTTTCTAAAAAAAAAAAGGAGGAAAAATAAAAGCTAATGAGCAATTTGAGCCGGCTGTAACAATAATTGAAAACTGATATAAACAAGAATGAAAATAATATACAGAGTTATCGCTGTATTGTATTGATAATTCAAGTACGCGTATTTAATCGTGCGTCTGCGATAAAATTTTACTTCAAAATTGCTTAGCTAAATATTAATCTACTTAACTACGACAAAGCCATAGTCGTCAACTCGTATCGTAACGTAATCGTCGATCAACAACCCTGAAAACTCGGGTAATCTAGTACGTAGCATAAACTTTAATAACTTTAACGCTAATAAGCGGTGCGATGTAAATGCAAAAGATTGCGGAAGTTATTCGGTCGGCGAAGCTTGATGATGATCGTCGAATTTCTAGAGCGGAGTCAACGATTTGAGTCTTGGAGTTGAAGGAAATAGAATAAGAACAGATCGGAATGTCCAATTAACGAATGTACTCGTCACGCCGCTGAGCCTCGGAATACTTGTTAATGGGAGCACAGGAGCGCATACCCACTCGCTATATCAATTTACCATATCATGTTATACCATTAGCGTCATCGTCTATCGCCTGGCCAATTTTCTTGATAATTAATAACAGCCGAACGATTCGTTAAACTGATTTGCAAAATTTTTATTCTACATCGGTGTTGCACGCTAATGCAATTCTCGGCTCGAATTACTAGAGACACTTCTCTCCTCCTTCTTCCATTTCCAATGGAAATATTCCCAACAAACCCACGTGGAACTAACGCTTTCACGATTAGAGAAAGATGTCAGAATATTTGAAACATCTTTTCCAGCTCTTAGTTGGAGAAATTTGATATGATATAATCCTGTTTTGTTATTAAGCGAAAGAAGCGCCGATGTTGAGCTGATCTGTTGTCCGATTCCTGCGAGGGTGGAAACGACGTGTCGTATATATATATATATATATATATATATATATATATATATATATATATTTTTAGGGGAAAAATAATTATCCAATAATTTAATTTAAAAAAAGAAACACGAGAAATTCTATCTTTGCGTTCGAAGTAACAAAAATACTATGGTTTGAAAATTCATTCAGAGGAACGTGAAATGTTCAATTTATAGTATAGAGTATAATATTTCGAGAGAAAAAAAAAAAAAAAAAAAGTGTACCATCTTAATCGTCGAACCTAACGTTAATGTTCAACATGTAGGTGCATATGGTATAACATCTCTGATTATCAGACTGTGACACAGAACGTAACTCCTCCAAAATGAATCGTTACCTTGGTAAAGACCTTGCTATTATCATAGAACGTTGGCATCCGACGAGTAAATCAATAGAATTTACGTAGTTTTTACAACAAAAGAGATTAACATTTTGCAATGTTTTGCAAGCAAGCAAAAGATTATTTACTCCGGTTTATTGTAAAAGATTGATTTATTTGAACTTGAGTAACCAGAAACAATTATAAATACATATATTCTATCTGTATCTATCTATCTATCTATCTGTACTTTTAGTCTTTTACAGTAATAATTAGAAATTAGAGTATCGATGTTTATGTTTCGTAATCGCAAGTAATTATGAGAAATTTAAAAGTTGAGCCGAAATTCGTGTGCAAACTCGAAGCAAGTCGTTATTATATTATATTATAATATTCAATGGATGAAACAAAATATTTTTTTATTGTGTCTATAAAAAAGTAAATTTGCATAAATAGGTATTAACTTTTTGGCAGTGACAACTTTCTTACGATCAAATGATAATATCGAATTGTAGTATCGAATTCTGATAGAATTTCCAAGTTATACGTAATTCAATGTTTTCTAATATTGACGAGTTTGGAGAATTTACGGTTTTTCCAGATTTTCCCAGAAATTTCGCGCGAAACGCGTCTTGTTATTTCACTCATCCGGTAATATACTTACGTATGAAGAAATATAGGAGACACGTGGTCGATTCGTGTGTAATTTTCTACGGCCTGCGGAATTCGCACCTTTCACTTTCGTTCTCTTTCGGTTTTCCACGCTTATCCCATGCGCGAAACAAAGATTTATATAAGATAAAACGAGCTTTAGAATATGTCGATACGATTAGTCATTAGTTGTACCGTTGATCCGATATCAATGTTTATCATGGATAAATTGCTTTCTCTCACAGGGAGATTGTTCTATGTTTCTTTCAAAAGTTTAAACGTACACACTGACATACATACAAACACCATACATGTATTTTCATCATTTCTCCTTGGCTTTGCTAATCGACTTGCTAATCTCGTTTGGATAAATTTAGATTATACAGATTGTTCGCTGAGAGTGCTAGACTGTGATGAACGTAACAATGGTCGAAATTGAATTTTGTCAATTTCTTTCCTAATATTAAACACAAATTTGGCACTAAGTGACTGAATAAAAATAAAGTGAATAAACCTACTGTATCGTAAATTAATTCACAAAATATGCATTAATCATCATTCTCCTCCTTAATCATCGTCATTGTCGTCGTCGCCGTCGCCGTTAGACATTGTTTTGACATCTTATGCTTATAGACTTGTTCGCAAACACAAAACGTTTGAAAATGATAATTTTTCTTAGAATAAACTGTTGATATTATCGAATTTTACTCGAATCTGGTGAACTCTGTCTTTACGATCTTGACGATCTGTCTGTCGGACTTTCCATATTCTTGTAACGGTTCGCGCTACCAGTTGGAACAGTATGCGAAACTAACCGTCCAAGTACTGTTAACCGTTCCATCTCGCAACGAACAAACTTGCTACGGTGAATGAAAAAGTAATTTTTCGGTGTGACAGACACCTCGGTATAATATAATATATATAACGAATCATATGTATGTATCTATTTATATATAACATAATATGTGTCGTATGTTTGACTACATACGTTACGTCCATTACGTACAATATTATTTTATCGATACAGACGTGACAATCGCAACTTGTAATGAAATTGTGTGTCAATGAAATTACAAAATGTTTTATGTATACTAGTGTGTGTATACATACATACATACATATATATATATATATATATATATATATATATATATAAATTGTGAATGCGCGGACAGGACAGGACAAGACAAAACAAAAGGACAGGATATTGCTGGTAGGTGATAGTGCACCGTGCCATTCCTCTAACTGGTATTCTAGCGGTTCCGCTTGTCACCAACCGACAATCATTCATTCAAGAAATCAAACGTGGTACACGTGTTAAATTTCTCAACGAGTACAAATGTCGTAACGTAATATATGTCATAGTATCGAATCGAAAGCTGTTAACTTTCGTGTTATTCGTGAATAGTTACATTGTCACGGTGAAATGTGATGACATCAACTCTCTTTCGTACGTTCGTTTTCAACAAAATTTACAAAAACCTTTTGTACGTTTGCTTATAGCACACAGGTCCAACAACTTGTTTATCTCGTTGTATTTCGAAAAAAAGGCTCAACCATCATCCACTCAGAATTACAAATACGCAATTACACAAGTATTTGATATGTATGCATATGTTTTCGCGCGTACTCTTAAATATAACAATGTGATATAACGCGTGTACATACGTAACATATTGGAGACATATTAAATGCAAAATAAATACAAAATAAAAAACATTTTATTTATAATCTCTTGATCAAACGACAAGTTTGTCTACCATCTACTTCGCCAATCAACGATAGTAAAAGCACTGTGCTCCGTGATTGTTTATTGATCTGCTAGTAGAAAAATGAAAAATCAGGTCGATGATAAATTGCAAAATCATTGTCTTTCATTGGAAAAGAAGTTACGTTGGAGGAGCGCAGTGTCGGTTTTTTGTTCCAATGCGTGTCGTGAGAATATAGGTACAATGAACGACTAAACGCAAAACGTACAAAGGGAAAATGGAGGCACAATAACTAGGAAACGTAAGATCATCACCGTGTTAATTACCGGATTTAAAAAACCGTCCGCAACCAGTAGAGCAATCGCTGCTGCCGTAACTGTGAATCTCTCTGCCGAGTCGTTCACCCGTCATTGCATCTCCTTTGCTGCGTTTCTCTGCGACGAGAAATGTCGAGAAATGATGAGAAACCAGCAGAATCGCAAGCATTACGCATTAGAAATATATAAGTGTATACACATACATACACGCATAAATGAGTAGTAGATGTGTATGTACGTACGTATAGCTACGTGGCAAAGATAACTTTACTTTTACTTTTCATTAAGATAGAGAAAATAAATCATTTTCGAATAATCTCCTTTATTCTTACCATCTTAACCCTTTCGAACGAAGTAAAAATAATTTTGATTGTAAAATTGATTTGAATTTCGAATATTATATTTATTACGTTGTATTATATTCTGCGTAAATTGAAATGTTGGCATTAAAAGAAGAAAGAAAGAAAGAAAAACGAAAAAAAAAGAAACAAAATGAAGAAAGGAATTGCAAAACCATAAATAACATTATGCAACAGTATCAATTAATACAATTAGTTGTAAATTAAGTTGTAAGAATATTACTCGATAACAATAATATTACTTTCACTTTCCTTCCTACATTTCTTTAATTTCTTCTCTTTGGCAGAAAATTGAATAAAAGTAAATTTATTAATTATATATATATATATATATTTTTTGTTCATTGTAAGACTAATATTTGATTTTTACTTTCCAATCGGTTACTAGCCCAAATCAAACAATGTACAACCTGGTTAGACGCGGTGGCACGTTAAAGAATGGAAAATCGGTGAATTTTTATCGATCCGTTGGTCGTTGATAATCGGTGAGTACGAAAAGCACTGGCAGTTACGCCACCAGTCCAATGACGGAAATTAAGAAGTGATTCCGGAAATGAGAGCTCCGACGTTCACGCTAAACTCAGTTTCCCTCGACCTTCCTGGGATGTGGGTTAGCATGTATGTACATATATACTAACTTTTCGTCCGAGGTTCGTGAGACAAGTTTGTTGAACATTTTGTCAGAAACGTTTAGTCCTTAGTTATTTTTATCATTTGTTAAACCTTTTTTAACTTAGTTTCTAATTAATCATCGAAATGCGAATGGACGGATGGTCGATTTCAACGAAATGTGACGTACATATGTTTCATGACATTTCATGATATTTTTCAAAAAATTGGTTTCAAATTAACAAAAAGATTAACTGAAAGTAAAACATGTCATATTTTCAGATGATTCACAGCGCGTTTAGATTCGACGGAATCATTTTCATTGATTGTACATGTATAATGTGCAGGAACTAAAGAACGATCTTGATCGATCGTGATTAAAATCTACGAAGCAACCAGCTATGTATTCTAGTTTATTCACCCGTTTCAGAGTTTCGCGGTGTAAAAGAGAAATCACTCGTTTATTAACATTCACTTCTGCGGTTTATTTTCCCAAGTATGCGAAAAACTCGACCACGGAACGATCGTGTAAAATGCCTTTCTCTGAGCGTAACGCGATGCAGTTACAGACCACGCCGCCGCGAATGGAATTGCTTTCAACCGAATGTAGAATATAGAATATAAAATCCTCATGTACTATTCCGTTTGTCGATCGTGTTTCCTTCCGAGTTCCTGACAAGTGTTTGGGAGATGACAGGAGAAACACGACAGGAGGCTCGACTTAAAAATCGACTTTGTGAGTGTTTAAATTTTGAAATTTCATTGCCACTTTGGGCCAGCGCTTTAGATTATCACTTAGCGATGCACGACGATACAACACTGTATGTCTGTACACATACGTGATAATGTAAAATTTGAAAAAGTACATACATAATGTAGGTGCACGCAAGAGATATTCTGCTGCTTTCTGTCTCCAAGTTCAAACGGAATAACGTAATTATTTTTACCACTGAATTCGCGAGCTAAATTCCAAGCGTTAGATGCTTGCTAATGTATAAGAATAGAGATACATGTATAGTTACAGATAGTTACAGGTAGTGCAAGTAATGAAATAGAAAAATCGAGGCAAGAGAACAATACACGGTTCGATGGTCATGGCGAGCAGGCAACTGGGCAAGCAAGCCAGCACTGCCACGCTTGTTGGACTTTGCACAAGGAAATCGTAGAAATTTCTTCTTCGTAATAGTTGCCAGATAGGACGGAATTATCATAGCCTCCAATTTTTAATGTAAAACTATGTGGAACAGGACGTAACATTTTTCAAGGTTTCTCCTTTTCTAATACATCGGGTTGTTCATACATCGGAGAAATAACTCCAACTTTTACTAGTTTCTGATGTTTTAATTCTGCGATAAATTCGATGTACTACAGTTGACCGTCTCTATGATACTCGATTGATTATTTGAATAAAAGTTTATTACGGTAATGTCCAATCGTCGTCTGAATCGTCGTCTGAATCATGGTCTGAATCTTGGTTCCATGCACACGAGAGACACACTATATAGGTTGACCTCGCGTTGTACATGGTTCAAGGTCGGCCAGTACATGCTAAAGACGATACTCGTGAGGTGTATGCGTAGGTGCATTCACCCTTTGAAACTTGTCGCTATAATGCAGCTATACTTGTTTGAGTTGTAAGGTACAAATTGGCAAAGAGCTCTCCATGTGGAATGCCACAGTGAGTGAAATCTTACATTTTGTTTTTAATAGACGCGTGCTCGCTTCATTTTCTTCTTATTACACTGTTTTTTCACGTCGATCATTTAAGTGACAAACGCAATGAAGATGATGACAATGCTTACGCATATTTTTTCTCGCTATCAGTTTAATTTGCTAATTTGCCTGTCTTTGTTTCTTAATTCAACGTTTCAAACTTTTGTTTATTCTTTTTTCTTCAATTTTTCATAATGTATCCATTACACACAGAATTTAAAATAGAGATAGGTTTAGCATTATACGTTTATTATATTATATGTTAAATTCAACTTTTTTACTTCTGTAAAAATACAACTACGTCTTGCGTTATTTTTGTTTCTAGCTTATATGAAAATTTGAAAAATTGAATAACTGCTATGTAATACATAAAATTTGACTAAGATATACTTATTAATTCGGTTATATATACGAGAAAAAAGATAATGATTCTATATATGTATGTACGTATCGTTAAATATTTTAACTACATATTTAACTACATACACTATACATACATACATCAGGTGTGTGTGTGTGTGTGTGTGTGATTAAAACTGTATATCGATGATCTAATCGAGCACGTGAATTAAATTTTGTGGAAAATATAACAGTGAAATATAACACAGATTAATTAAAAATTTATTTATCTTGGAATAAAGATGAAACGTTTCAAATTATTCGAAATTCGAAAGAGATCCAAAATTTAAAAATTATCCTAGTCAGTTTAATCAAATGGTATTACATCTTAAAGGGAAAATACTTCCATAAATAAAAACACTTTTCCATTCACTTTTACAATCAATATTATTAGAAATATGATAATACATATGATATCTAAATCTCACAAAGAAAAATTAATCCAAAAAAAAGAAGAAAAAAAGGAGGGGAAGAAGGAGAAGAGGAGGAGGAAAGAAAAAAATCCAGATATTTACTTACTCATATTTGTCAGCATTGGTTTAAAACCAGTTTTGGCCCATGACGCGTTCCGATAAAGCTGAAACTCGTAGCCAGCTTTCTTAAAGAAGTCACGTAAAAAGACGTATCACTTGAAAAGAAAAATTCGTTTCGCACGCGTGTACAAGAAATAGCATCAAGAAGATTCGTTGATGCCACCTGTTGATGCCTCTTGTTCTCGAAACAAACGAATTATATATACTTCCATTTATCTGTACTAACTGTACTAACTATGTATACGTATTCGCAACGTAAATCACCTAATAATCGAACAACTCGAGTTTTTCTTCGAGTATATCGATCGATAAGAACGCGCGTAACTCGCGAGCAACGACACCGAGTTCGATACTGAGGAACCGTTAAGTTCAGCTAGGTAGCATCGGCATCACGGTCTTCGACTAGACTGCAAGAATTTGCCGCTGTTCGACCCCCTCTAGAAGCTCGTCTTTCGCTTGTAGCGGTGCAGGCTGAGGTAGGGCAGGATAGAAAGAATGCACGTGTCTTCGGAAAACGAAGTTTCGATCCATCTTTTGACTGCTGCTTCGATTTTTCGCGCGATTATTCGATTGATTTTAGGCGCGCTTTTAAAATCGTATATATTTTATATATATATATATAATGTAATACATTCGGTATAGCCAACCTGAAGCTTTTGGCGGGTACTAGGCATCACCATACGTTACATTACTAGTTTTTTTTTTTTTTTTTTATTTCGAACACTCGAATAGTCACGAAACATCAATCATTCAGCGGTTTTATATCTATGTATAAAGTAGTCAAACTATTATAAAGATATTGTTATGTTTGTTGTGTGTGAAACATTTTGAAATTTCGACGAGCATCGTAATAAAACATAATTATCATGATTACATTGGTATTAGTAAATATGATACGCTAACAAATGATATTGATAAATTAATGAATTGTAAATTTTAAGTCATGGACTTTTACACGGAGATAAATTAAGATAAAGGTAGATGTTTTAAATCTGACTTTTATCCTTTGCTTTATAGAAATATTGAAAATTTTTCATTTCAAAGTATCTTACAGTTCGATTATAAAACCATCGACAATATTAAAAAAGATGCGTATTCATTTTTCGATAAGTATAAATTATAAAAATTTATTATCAGCAACTTATTATTATTTATTATAATATTAGTTATTCCAACAAATTGTGAAAATTATTTTCACAATTATTTTGTCTATTTGTAAAAAGATATTTGAACATGAAAAAAATATATGCGTACATATTCTTTATTAAAATATGTATTTATACTTTGGCTTTTAATATAAACATACTACACTTAATTACTCTTGAAATTATAACAAAACATTAAAACATAAATCTGTATTATTTAAGAGTGAGCCCAGGTTTTCCAGATTCTATAAGGACATGTATATTACATCAAAAACTTCAGGTAAAATTCTTCTTTTTTTGATTTCTCTGTGATACACGATTGAAAACTAATTTTTTTAGAAATAAAAGTTTAAAACTGATTTAATTTTAATTCAACAAAACACATTACATTTATGTAGCAGAAGAATTTCAGATCAGAATTTGCATTATTTTCAAGTAAATTTATAAACTAAAATCATGTATTCTTTTAGATGATGAACTGTTGTATCGAAAAAAAGAAGGCAAGAGAAGAAATGGCGTATAAATCTCAAAGTGTAGACACTGACGAATTTGAAACAGGTAAAGGTAATTTGAAAAATTTACGTTAATTTACGTATAATCAATTTCCAAACAACAAATTTTATTAATAAATTTTGTCTTCGCAGCCAAATGAAGTTATATTATACAGATTGATAGAATTGATATTTAATATAATAAAATTTTAGATACTTGTAATAATTGTAAGTTTTATTAAGGTTTATATATCATAAATTTATATGCGTAAAATACATAATTACTTATTTTTTCAAGTTTGAAAGATTCATGATACAATATAATTGCAACTGTATCAATTAATTAAATATTTCGCGTCCTCCCCCGTGTTAATTAGACAAATAAAATAATAAATTATTATTTTATAAAAGAGGAAAACAGCACAAGTAAAACGCAAATTAAAAAACGAAATAACAAACAAAATTTGACCGTTGTTAAATTTGTTTAACTACTTTTTCCAATTGATTTTCCTTCCCTAATTTTAGCAGAATCAGAAGAAGAAGAATTTTTCGAATGTACATCTGAGGAACCAGCAAATGAAGACGATTTGACATTAAGGACACAGCAGAAAGCATCGCATCTGTTGTGGAACAAACCTGCAGGACGATTGGCCAAACATCCTTCACTCAAGTATGAATTTTTAGTACAGTCAGCTTTTTACAAAATATTATTTGTTATACGTCAATCCACTTTTCATATAAACATGGAATACCTACGAAAATATAAAAATTATTGCGCTGAAACTTATTTTTATTAGAAACGTGAACAGTGGATGTTTTTACCTTTTTATTTTTATTTAAAGTGACTAATCAACAACGTATTCCATTATAATAACAATTAAAATCAATTAACATATCCAACGATGTATTTTGATATCTTTTCATTTGTTAAAATAATTTTTTTTTTTTTCAATTAAAATACAATAAATAACAAGTTGAAAAATTGTTTACAATACGAACATTTTTACGATGAAGTGTTTCAGTAATAATATTGCTAATAGTATCAATAGTTCAGTAATTTTTGATATTTTTGTCAAAATACACGTTAAAAAAACATTGATGTGCAATATGTTGTAAATTGTAATTTTACCGGGAACATATCAATATGTAACTGATATTATAAGATATTATAAATTGAATCGAGTAATCATTTTATTTAGGTTAATCCAAACTGGAGATTCTCTTTATCTACCGATAACACAAGATCCTGTACCAAAAACGGAGGATCAACTTGAGGAAGATGCTCAAGTAATGATGCAGCTTGGAACTAGCAAACATGCTTCAGAAATGCGAGCGAGATTAATGAGCGCCTCGTTATTGTCTGACATGGAGTCTTTCAAGGTGACAATATAAAAATAAACTACATAAAATTTTTAAAAAATATGATTTATTTTGTAATCTTTTGAAAAAATCCTTTGAATCCTAAAAAAAAATTATTAAAATTTAACACAGGCAGCAAATCCTGGAGCAGTTTTGGAAGACTTTATTCGTTGGTATTCCCCGAGAGATTGGATTGAAGAAGATGGAATAGACGAATGGGGTCAACCCAAAGGTTTCTTTATGTTTTATATTCCTTTTCTTTTTTTAAATTAAAATTATAAAATTTTTTAAGGAGAAAAACTTACAATTATACAAACTATTATCTAAGGTCACTTATCAGCAAGAATGTTGATTCCCAATAATCCATGGTCTACAACTTGGAATTCAGCTCTGCCTGTACCTGCGCATCGACAAAAACGGTTGTTTGACGATACAAGAGAGGCTGAGAAAGCTCTGCATTTCTTAAGTACAAAGCGCACTGGCCAAATTGCTCAACTTCTCTTACCAGTCTTAACCCATGCAGCACTTTATACTTTAAACGAACAAAAACAAGATGCTCTGCCACATTTACCCGATGTTGCACTTAGTATACTTAATAAGTTACAATATGCTACAAAACCTATTCATCAGAAATTACATATATACGAGGTATTTTCAAATTATATATCTATCTATGTATTTACATTTTACATATCTTTTTCAATATTGTTAATCTGTATAGATCCTTGTACAAATAAAACGACAAATATCATAAATTAATTCATTTCAGGAAATTATTCAAGATATAGAAGGTGTAGAAGCTCTTGTAGCACAAGTAAATTCTTTACAACATAAATTAGGTGGAAACGATGATTCTAAAGAATTTACTTCATTTCTTATCCAGTTAATGCGAGGAAAAGAGGTGGATGTACCAGGTGGTTCTAGAGGAAATATCGGATCTCGAATAACGGCAATGTTTAGAAATGCTCAAAAGGTATTATTAAAAATTTGTACATGTACTTGTACTTCAAGGAGGTATTCTAATTTAGACAACACTTTTTGAATCAGTTTCTGACATGCGAAAATGTTATTAGATATAAAAAAAAAGGGAAATTTAGCTTTTATGTATATACTTTTTCATATTTCAATTAATTATACAAGGTTATTAAGATTTTCTAGATTACAACACTCTTTAATGCTGATGTTTATACTAAGTAAAATAATATGTCATTGATAATTTTGTGTTCTAGGCTGCTCTTGCAATGACTTCTCTCAATAATACTTCAGATGTAGATGGGGCTGGAGATAAGTTTAAAACGTTTCCAGAACCTTGTTGTAAAGAGTTTATTTTACGTATTGTAACACCTAGACCTTCGCCAACTTCAACTCCACAACCGCAAAGGCTGTACGTGTCTCTTAAGCGAGATGATATTCGTTTAGCTGGATTTTTCTCGAAAGATACAATATTTTTGTAGTCCACGTTTCAACAAAGCTTTTCATTTTTTCAACGAAGAGTAAACTGGTTAGTATTAAAATAAATTTTTTATACGTTAATCCGTGCCTATTCCGATTCTTTTATCGACAAAGTGATTACAAAAGTGGTTACACCCTTATACCTAAAAGACTATAGTAGACACAGCAGTCTACCTACAAATAAACAGTTCCGTCGTGTTTTTAATCTTCTTTTCGTGGGAAAAAGAAGAAATATCGTCCAGATAAAAAAAAGTAACATTGATCAATTTCCCAAGTGTGTATAAAAATGTTGTATAATAATTGTAATAACAAAAACACGTTAAATCAAAATCCGATTCTATTCGTTTTTATTTATGATCGCCAAAGTTTATACATTACAAATAAAATTCTTGATATAAAACTCTATAAAAATACGAATTACAAATTACGAACTAAAGGATAATTCTTTTTTCAAGTTTCGAAGATGAAAGGAGAAAATCTTGCACTATAGAGTCCAATTCTTCCAGAGCTAATTGAGCATGTAAACGTAACACTAGATCCTCATCGTTGTCTCGTAAATATTTAAGACCACGATATAAATCGACCAGATTTCTATCCATGCTTGTTAATGTACTTTTCCCAAGACCACGGAATAATAAAGTGCTAATCATAACTGCAGCTCGTCGACATTCAGGAGCTTTGTCTGTTTTTACAATACAGCTGATGCAATAGATTATCTAAAAATTTACATCAAACGGATATAATAATTTTAAATAATTTTCTAACGAATATTTTTTTTTAACTATTCTGATAAAATAGCAGATATAACAGAAAGATAATCTAAAATATATCGCGTTCTATGAAGTCAAAATCTGCAAGTCAAATGTGTACAATAGATTTTTAAAATCTCGAAAGATCACACTGGGATTACCAAATTAGATTTTGCGGCTCTATATAATTTTGATATTTGAAATTGATACATACCTCAATGACTATATCGCCCAAATGAAAACCTAATACCTTGCACAGTTCACCCAAGCAGGAAAGACTAGAAGCACGTACTAAAGAATTTGTGTCTCGTGCAGCGCATAAGAATCCATTTATCAAGATGTTTTTATAAGCTGGTGCCATTTCGCCTACAAAATAATATAATGTAAAAAAATTTTACGAACAGAAGAAGAAAAAGAAATACCTAAATTTCTCGTCATTTTTACAAGCACTTCTCCTAACTTAACTCTCGTTTCCGTAGTTATTTCTTCAGCTGAAACACGTTGTGGCATATCAATATATTCCTTTACTAATGTTTCAACAACTACTTGTGGATACGAAGTAGCCAAAGCACATAATCCATTAATTGCTGCCAAATATATAAATGAATCTTCGTGTTTCAAATTTTCCTATAAAACAGATATACATATGTATGACATACAAATAGATATACATTGCAAACAATTAAAATAAAAGAAAAATTCTTTTTACCAACATTAAATAATTGTAGAAGAACCATTTTTCTAGCAATAGCACATGGATCCATATTTTCAATTAGTTTGGTAAGAATTACAAGTCCATGAGCACGTACAGGTAGTAACGGATCTGCAAGATCTTTGAGTGCTTCTTCGAATTTGTTAGACACTTTACGATTAACTGATAAGTCCTGATATTGTTTTCGTTCCGATTTACCTTGACTTTCAATTAGTGCTATCAATTCTCGTATTAGTAATAACAATTGAGATGAGATGTTTGAAACGCAACATTCTTTCAAGAATTTTACAAAATCGCTAAATACTGTCCAATCTAAAGGTTTCTTTCTTTCACTTAAAATCATTTTCATCAACATTAAGCCAACGTATAAGATCTCGCAATCATCCTCTTCTGGTGAATTCTGATGAATCTGGAGTCTTCTTCCGATGTACTGATTAAATAACGATTTTATAAAATACATTAATAATTTGGGATCTTCAATTTGTGCTTCTTGCACAGCAGATATATTAGCTAGATTCGACAAAAGTTTTACAGCTGCTAATTTTTCTTCGATCTTTTCCATTAAATCGTTCTCAGTTTCTAACACACTTTGATCTTCCTTCTGATCTAATTTCATAGAATTTGATAGATATTTCAATAAATAGGAAAATAATTCAGTTGACAGTACCTCTGTAGTAAATATCGTATCAAATAAAGTGTCTGCGAATTCTTCATATTTGCAAGTCTTCTTGTCTATTCCAACAATTTCAATTCCACCTGTTAGCCCAAATTTTGTCTCCAAACGGTTTCCAAAATTATTTGTCAAGTTATGCCCAAGAAGTACACCAAAAAGATCGTTTCTTGTTGATTCTTCATACAAAAGAAGTAGTACAAGTTGTTTAAGTTTACTTTTCAATACACAAGCACTTTGTCTAATATCGTTGTATAATGAAAACAGAGGAACTGCTACGTTCATTAAGAGTTGACAAGGCAATCGTTTAAACAAGGCCTCCGTGACAACAAAACATTTTGTCAATTTTTCAATGCATCTTTCCACTTCTTCTTCGCTTTTTACTTTTTGTTCATTTTCTGAATTTACTAGTAATGGATCGCACATTACCGCCACAATGTTTTTATAACAAACATTCGAATTGTATTCATAAAGTGCAGTGATACAGCAATTTGCTATTGTAGTTGAATGCTTAATCTGTGTTGATGTTAAAAGACTTAATAACTGAAACAAATATAATTTATCCTAAAATTACTGACTGCTCAAGGAAATAAATGTGACAAAAGTAACATGCGAAATATACTTGTAAGCATATGGATTTGTAATATTGGTCAGCATTAATTCCATGTGATGTGACTATTAATCGGGAAATAATGTCCAACTTATCCCAATGTTCCCCAAGATCCAATACATCTTCGCAGACAACAGCTATGATTGAAACTATTCCATTAGATTGCATAAGCTGCTCTACTAAATATTTACGAGTTTCACGTCGAAGCCATTTTGGTGCTTCTGTAATACCAAGGATTACCATCAATTCTTTCATGCATGTAGAAGAAGGACATTTATTTAACAACTTGTGAAACAGACACGCAAAGTGTTCTTGGTCTTTTTTTAATTCATCATATAAATCTGCAGTCATTATAAATTTATCTTTATTCGCATTTCCTTCTCGAATCGATGTAGCCTCTTTGGATGGTTTCATCAATGGGGCATGGCATAATTGTAAAAGTGCAGCCAGTAACGGTCCAATTTGAATAAGTATCGCAGGACGAAACATAATGTCATCGTACAACTGTATAAGTGAATTAACTGTAAATTTTAACCTCTTGTATCTCTGAAATCATGAATCATATTTTTAACTTTTTTAATTCGTACATCTTAATTTGCTGCAACAACTATAATTCGCCTGTACCTGTAAATCTGTTAGCTCTTCCTTGCAGATCAACAGAGCTTTGGGACATGTTTTAGCCATGTCAACTCCAACGCCAGGTAAAAGACAGGATATAATCCCTATTGCAGTTATTAATTCCACAGAAGCTTTTAAAGTACGAAATTGCTGAACGCTGTATAAAGATTCGTCATTTGCAGAATTATTTATTTTTATATTTTGTAGAACATGTACAATCGTACATATGTATTGATACCTAAAAGTAATTTTCATTAACAATGTACTACAATACATTCATCGATAAAATGATTTTAAATATTGCGATAGCTGTGTACGAATGTTCGTCTTTTGTTAATATAAAATGTCTTTGTTCCATTGAACGAACCGTTTTAATTTGATTAAAGCAAAGACCAATAGAATTCAATCTCCATCGACATCGTCGATTATGTCCAGATGTTGAGAAAAATGATTCATTCTAATATAGCAGCTAATATATTTTAGATAAATTGCAAAAAATGCGTCTTTTTATTAAATATTACCTGATATCATTGGGTTCGTTTTTGTTATCGACAGTATCGATCTTGAGTTTTCCATTATTTTTCATTGAAATTGTTTGTACTTTTTGTAAAATTTGTTGCAGTCTTTCGTTAAAATCATTAATTGGTCCTACAACATCTAAAATCGTAAAATTTTTATTAATATTATTTATATGTTATTACTCGTAGTTAGTACTCGTTACTTAATTCATATTTATGTATATTTATTCGTTTTTAAAATATAAAATATAAAAATATCCAACGTACCAGCTTCAGTTTTGTCAATTGTTGTTAAATAAAACAATATTTCATAATAATCCATGTTTTTGTTCAATTAATTTGTTCAATCAATGAAAACATGATTCAATCACAGACAACGTATATATAAAAGAGTAAGTAATCAATGTTGTTCCCTGCTCTACAAACCACCTAAATCCCTTAACATTTTTACGTGACGTGGTAACGACTCACAATGACAATAGCGAAACTTAAAAATATAATAAATTTCACATTTTTACGCGATTACTTTACTTTCTACGCGCTTTTCTTCCTAATTTACTATCTAATCTAAACCTGCTGGTTCCAACTAAACATCCCAATGTTCAATTTTAATCCATTGATTTTGAACGCTACGATAAAGTCAATGGAATTTGAAAATTTCTATTTATATACTTCGTAGGTTAAGTGAAACACAAAAAGAAAAGAAAGCTGACAGCAATTGTAAAAGTCCACAAAAAAATTCCACAAATTAATTTTCTTTGAAAATTTGCCTAATTTATGGGCATTGAAATGCTAGCGTCGCGTAGCGGCGAAATGGCGGAATTAATTTATATTGCTGTCTTTGTCGCACGCTATTGCTCTCCTTGTCTCGGAACGTTTGACAAGAAAAGCAACAGTGTGCGACAAGGACATCTTTCGATCTATTGAAAAAAATATTCAACTTTTTACACACACGTTTTTCTAGGACAAAAATCACATAGAAAAAAAGCGGGGAGCCTAAGTTTGAGGAGGCATATAAAAAAATTCGTAAATTACTCCTTTTAATTAGGTTTTTTTCGTAATTAGTGCGAGCTGTCACAAAATGTAGCGACCTCTACTTCGAAGAATTTAGATCAACGACATCTATATGTTCCGTCGACATGTGTATTTAATATAAACAATAGAATATTTAAAAATAGCTATTAATTTTATTATCACCATAGAAATGTTTACTGACACTTATATATAT